CCTCCTCTAAGTTGTTCTTGTCATATATTTTAGTCACAGTGATGAAAATTTGATTAACACAGTATGTCATCTAAATTTCTTCCCATTAGGAGAATTTACCTTTGTTCTACTCTTTCAGTTCCAATCGCTACTCTCTTCTTCAGTCATAAGGAATGTTCCATTAGGCCATAAATATGAATTGATAGTTCAGCAACAGGAAAAGCTACCTTGAGAGTCTGAACATCCTGCTTGTGCCATTTTCTTGTGCCTTGTACTCATCCTTAGGTTCATTTATTTATCTATAATTTCAATTTTAAACAGAATTCTTCTGTGTACATCTCTTCTGTGATTTGCTGGATCTGCTCCTGATAAGCAGTTTAGGATGCATTAGTTATCTGGAATTCCATAGTCAGATATTTGGTTGCTTCTATCATACAGGGGCTACTTTTCAAAAAGAGAACAATTGTTGCCTTAGTCAGTCATTTCCAAAAGCTCTTTAATATGATCATGGGTTATGATACAGTTTGGGGTATCCAGAGATTACCATCAATTCAAAAACTTTAGTAATCACTCTTACAATGTCTTGGTATCTCTCTTGTCTTAGTGCACAGTCAACCTGGAAAGTATTTGCAGGTCCACTGGGGAAATTTTGATGAAAGATTCATAGTGTACCAGTGGCTATAGAGGGCTTGCCTTCTCATTTGTTAGGAATGAAGTAGAGAAACACCACTACAACAACTTGAGTTAGGGTTTCTAACATACCTACTTTCTTTTCTGCCTAAATATGTCAGGCAGCATCTGACAGGTTGTCCAATTATCTCACTTTAGGAATGCTCTTATTACTATCACGACAGATCCCTGTAGGTCAAAAATCCTCTCATTAGCATTTTATTACTGTGGCTTATTTTGGTGTTGCACTCACTTTGCCTTAGCTAATTAAGCCTTGTTACCTCTCTTCCACCACTCTGGGATCCAATAATTCACATTAAGATTAGGTAGTAAAATTTTACTGCAGCATTCTCCACCATCACCTTCACAGAAATCTTTAAGGATGCTGACAACCCTCTCACCAATGCATTTCACAATGGCTTAGAGTGTGCCTGCACAAATGCCCCTATCCCATACATAAGGGTTCCATTCCATCCCTACTACTGTTCTTAATTTATTGTAAAAACCATAGCAGATGGAGCATTTCATTGTCAATAGAACTGCAACACTACAAGGACCTGGGCTTGGTCTTCAGCTGTGCCTGCCCTAAGACAAAAGACTCTCTCAAACCTGCCATGAAAGCTTTCTGGTGCTCTACATGTGTTCTTAACCTCCAATGTTCTCATTTCCCTATGCATACTCTATATGAACACATACTCCCACATGTTTTTGATAATTATTTCATCTCCATGAAGTAGGCCTGAAAGACAAATGAAGAGAACTACTAAATATACAGAGCCTATGGAGAAAGCCACCTCCTAGGAACCTTAGATAAAGGACTCTGCTAGCATGTGCTGACACCTTCAGGGAACAAGTTGGAAGAAAAATTTCCTGACCACATTCTCCATTACGGGATTAAAGAGATCAAAAGAGCCATCTGATGTGGTCCATGTAAGCCATTCTTCCTTGAATCACAGAGCAGGGTAGAGAAGAATGGAGATTGAACCAGGATGGGAAGATGGGGAAATATGCAGCAAATTAGTGACGGTCATGGGGAAAAGTGCCTGCACTGGAAAAGAGCACCTCTATTTAGCTTTATATACATTGTGAGGAGAAAGGGAAAAAACATTATTCTTCAAGGTTATCTGGGGCAGAATTGAGATTTGCTTGAATTTTTCTATTAAAATAAGAAATGCACATGGATATTGACCCATGGTAAAAGCATAGAGCATGCTGAATTAAGCATATTGTCTTATAATCATGAATTTGAGGAGTTTTGAGTGATTTGTATCAGCTCATCAGTTTTATTAATTTCAGTCAGATTATTTGTTTCTGATCTAGATGGACCTTTCTTCCAAGGATTCTGCTGTTGGGGCTGGCGATGCAGCAAGAATATGCCTACATGTATGAATTGCCAAGATCATTGTAATATCATGTGTAGCTAATAAAAAAATTAAATTAAAAAAAGAATATGCCTACATAAGCAGCAGTGTACCAGAGACCCTCTTTTGTGCTCTCTGGTTCCATGTACACATCAGTGTTTCTGGACCCAAAATAAATACATCTTTTCAGAGCTCTTATAGAGAGAGAAGATGATTGGAGGTCATACCTAGCCATTCTAGATCCCTTGCTATGAAATTTTGGCTATGGTGTATATCCATGCTACTTCTATGTTGCATTCTTTTTTCTTCAATAAACTTTAGATTTGCAAACATTGCCATTTGTGGTCCCATGAGTCTCCCATAGTAATAAAACTGGTTAGCTACCCTAGTTTTCAGGGCATCTGAAGCAGAAAATACAACATACTACAAGGTGCCTTGCTTACGCCTTTATTTATAGGCATAATTTTCTCTAAAGACACTTGCAGGTTCTGTTCAGTAGATATAGTAATTGTTGCCTGTTGGATTCTTACTCCCAAAATTTGTTTTATACTTTAGAAAGGTCTTCCCTCCATCACCATCCAAAAATAAGAGAGACACTATAATTCTTTTTTCTGCTTACTTTATGGTAAAAAGTAAAAGCACTGAATGTGACTGAAATCATAATGAATATATAAATCAATGCCCTTTTAGTGTGAATTAGAATCACTTAGGATGCCTGATAAAAACAGAGATTCCAGAGATTTATTCACTGGAACTTAGGAGTGGGTCAAATAGTTGACATTTTCTTTTGGTGATTTTGATAGGTGTCAAGCTAACACACCTTAAAATGCATTAGTAATGGCTGGTGATGTATCTCAGGGATAGAATGATTTTCTAGTGTGTGTGTGAGGCTCTGGGTACAACCCCAGGACTAATGCATTAATCAAATGAGATAGGGTTAAATTTGTGGTACAAGCCCTTTTCCATAGTGTTCCTTTTGGAACTGCAAGTAAACACTGCTAAAGAAGATTCCACAGTTATTTATGTAGATAGGGAATTATGTGGGACAAAAACTCTTGATTCAGCTACTATTATTTCTAAATTCATTAAGAACTGTGCTAGGCACTAGGGGTACCAGGATAAAGGTCAGATTGTGCTTTGAAAAGCAGAATCCAATGTTTTCCAATTTTTTAAAACTCCAGCCCACAGCCAGAAATAAATTATTCACAATTCAGGTACACACATGTACATGTATACATAACTGAAACACAAATTTCACAAAAATATATGCACTTTATCTACCTGAAATATAGTCTGATATTTACTATCTGGCTCTGATTTTATTATATACCATTTAATTAAACATATTGCAAGTCTTCACTGAATTTAAGATATACTAATCAATGTAGGGGGATGAAACTGCAGTTTGACAACACAGGTCTACTTAATAATCTGTGATGTATGTATTATATAATGCATATATTTATCTTCCTAGAAACCTATTTCATGAGGTAAGAGTGGGGTGGCTGAGGAGAGTCTCCTTATAAGCCAGTGTTTGTTTTTTTGGGGGAGATATTGGTGATTGAACTCCACCACTGAGCCACATCCCCAGCCCTACTTTGTATTTTATTTAGAGTCAGGTCTCACTGAGTTGCTTAGCACCTCACTTTTGCTGAGGCTGAGCTTTGAACTCACAATCTTCTTTGCCTTAGCTTCCTGAGCTGTTAGGATTGTAGGCATGCACCACTGCACCTGGCATAAAGCCAGTGTTTCTCAAACTTCAATATGCACAGAAATCACCTCAGGGTATTGTTAAAATGAAGATTTTGATTCAGTATGTTTGGTGTAGGGACCTGAGATTCTGTATTTTCTAACTTTCTCTCAGATGATGTTGATGCAGCTCATCCACAGATCACTTTTTGTGTAGCAATGCTCTAATATTCACAAATGTATTAAACTGGTAAGGCAGTACCTACCAAGAGTTACCTGGGACAAAATTTCTTCTAAGGATGACAAAAAATTGGACAAGTCACTGACATATGAGAATAGCAAGTGTGTTATTCAAAATTTACCCCAGTCTCTCACATCTGAATCTGGTAGAGAGACTGCTGCATGCAAAAATGCTATCAACCAACCGAGAAAGAATTATTTTACTAAAAATATGAAATCCATCAGGGGCCAAAGTTATCATTGAGATGTTACTAAATTTGGTAAGTAAAACTCAAAAGTGAGGAAAAGGGTATTATCCATATTTCTATAGATGTCATGGCTTGGAATAGAGTTGACTTGGTTTACTGGAGATTCCAGAGAAATCAATTGGGCTTTGTCTTGATGCCTGCCCATCAGCAACACTGGGATCCTTTGGAGGTTGCAAGATTTATGAGAAGGGACACAGTGCCTAGCAGACATGGTATTACATAGGGGAGGATAATACCTACCTTTCAACTTCCTGAATGTAACCCCAGGTACATGTGAGATGTACCCCAATCTTTCAAGTGTCTAAAGGAGTCTTGGTTCTGCTAGTACTGGGGATAAAGTAGAAGGCAATCTAACACATTTCACACACTTCGTACTTCAGGTAATATACTCAGCAGTTATGGAATGCAAGTATTATCCCCATTTGACAGATAAGAGAACAGTCCCTTACGAGTAAGGGGTTTGTAATAACCATAGATTCCTCCAAATATGAGTCCCAGAGGTAATGGGAGTTTTACCTACAATTTTAGTTTTGACAACAAGAATTTTAAGTGTTTCCACAGTCTTTATAAGCTTATTGAACAATTTTTCCATTGTTATTTATGTACTGTTTTCTAATTTTTAAATATCTTATCACTTTTTGTGAGATAAGAAATCTGTTTTCTTTAGGAAAAAAATAAACAGACAAGTTGAAAGGAAACAAGGAAAGAAAATCACCCAGAGCCCACAACTCAGAAAAACAATTGTTAACCTTTTAGGGATCAAAACTTTCTATCTTCCCTGTGCATACATACACTACACTTTCCTTTTACAAAAACAAACAGATTCTGTAGATGATACTGTAAACTCCTTTATTTTTCCAAAATCACAACAACTTTGCAATACACATGGGGAAAATTCCCTACATAAACACAAAATGAGTGCTGCAATAGTGTCAAAAGAACTTCTGGTAACAGAAGAGACACTTAATGTATTAGCTTAAAACACAAGACCTGGCAATTGCCTGCCAGGAGCACTACACATAGGGAATGTCTTCAAGGTCTCTCCGTGGGGCTCTACAGCCACCCCTGAATTCCCTTGGGCCCCTTGGGTAGAAGGGGTCCTCTAAATTTCTTTGCATCCACAAAAGCCTCCCTAATTTCTGTCTGCTTTTTCTCATGTCATCCTTCACCTTAGCCATACTGTCAAATTCTCTTATCATATCCTCATTGCTGAAATTCATATCATGTATGGACTCTTTATACTCCTTGAGGTAATGAGCCAGCCCCTTGTCAGTTTTTCTTTTGGCTTTCCTGGGTATGTCATCCTCAGCCAGGCGCTTTTCTGCAGCCCTTGTTTCACTTTCTGGCTTTCCTGAGCACTCTGGCTTTTCCTCACTTCCCACCTTTCCCTCTCTCTCTGGCTTTCCTTCCTCTTTTGCTGTTCTCTTACTCTCTGGCTTTTCCTTATCCTTCAGCATTTCCTGATGTGCAGTCTTTTCCTCATTTTCTAACATTTCCTTGTCTTTCAGAGTACAGGCTCCTTCTGGCTTTTCCTCATCCTGTGGCTGTTCTTCATTTTCCTTCTTTCCTTGGTTGGAAGGTGTTCCTCTGTTTTCACTGTAGAGTTCTTCCATGTCACGATTTCCTCTCCTTTTCCTGTCCTGGGAATGGGGGAAGAGAAGAGAAGACTAAGAAGAGACATGGGAAACTGAATGGGGGTGTAACACAGGTCCACAGGGTATTGCATCTTGCCCTTGTGAGAGTTCCTCTTAGCTTGCCCAGCCCTCCAAGTGTGCCTCTGCAAGCCCCTTACCACACATTCCTACCCCTACAGCAACCATTCCAGGGACTGTGCCCTCCGCACTCTTACCCCTTCTGGGTCCCTGTCTGTGCTGCACACCCCGCCTCACTGACCTGCAGGGATCCTGGGCGGGTTGCTCCTCTTTTACAGGCCTCTCAGAGCTCTGGGAACAGATGCGCAGACCTGCAGACAGGATACGGGGCGGAGCAGGGCGCTCAGGACTGACAGGGACTGGGGTCCCTTTTTAAAATCCAGGCCCTCCTCACTCAACCTTCTCCTCTACTTCAAGTCGCCATTTCTTTTCAGGTCTTGGGCATCAAACCAGGATACTTTGCACAGTATGTTTGGGTCTGCACGTCCCCCTACCTGAAGGCAACCTGCCTCACCCCTTCCCCGCTTTTGCCCAGGTTATGCAGTTCCATTTCATAGGTGCAGAGTATGAGAAGGGGGTTATTTCCAGAAGGCGTCTACGTTTCACTGTCGCATTGCAGGGTTGCCCCCCACCGCATGACTTGCTCTAAAATGGATGGAGGAATGGGGCGGAGGTTCGAGAACGCACCTGGACTTCTGCAAGGCCCTTCAGTCCCTGCCGCTCCGGGTCCCCCTCCTCACTGATCTCGCTGATCCCTTCCCCCGCCCCCAGCCAACTGCAGAAGGATCCTGCTGCCACCCACCTCCACCCCTGCCCAGGGTCTGATGACAGCCCCTGCCTTCGTACTGACCTTCAAAGACCCAGGACAGACCTGCGTGTGTCCTCTAGCTCACGGAAGCCTTCTAAGGATCACCCGCCACCCAGAAGAGAGTTCTGTACGGATGCAGGGATCCAACTGCAGGGCGCGCGATCAGGCAGGCGCAAAGGCTAATGCCTAGGTTGGGCCCCAGCTGGTCACGTGAAAGCTGCGTCACTTGAGTTTACCCGCGGCTCCCCCCCCATGCTATGCACCTCACCCCCCCACAAATCCTAGAGACTTTGAAGCTGCTGAAGAGGTGTGTGTGTGTGTGTGTGTGTGTGTGTGTGCGCGCGCGCGCGTCTCTCTCTCTCTCTCTCTCTCTCTCTCTCTCTCTCTCTCTCTCTCTCTCTCGTGTGTGTGTGTGTGTGTGTGTGTGTGTGTGTGTGAGAGAGAGAGAGAGAGAGAGAGAGAGAGAGAGAAAGGAGGAGGAGTTGAAAACCGGACCCCAGGTGCATTACCTGGTTCACCTAACAGCATCCTCTCACATCATCCCTCTCAGATGCCCATTTTCATCAGGTTTGACAGCAAATCAGAAGAACGCTCAGCTCCTGAAGCTCACAATCACTTTGAAAAACGCCTTTGTCTAATTCCCCCCAGATCCTTAAAAAAAGGAGGAAGACTTTGCCAACACCTTGATTTTAGTCCAATAAAACTGATTTGAGAATGTTGACTCCTACAACGGTAAGAGAACGAATGTGTGGTGTTTTAATTAGCGCTAGAAAAGTAATAAGTTTACTAAACCTATTCTAGACTAGTTTGACATAAGTTATCAGTAATAGCAAGGCATTATTTTAAAATTTAAAATGTTGGGAAATATTAAACTAGAGGTGATGCTAGGTGAGTACGCAACAATTCAGATTGTTGGGGATAAATCATCCTGAGATAATTTTCATCCTGAGATAATTCACAGAAATTCACTAGCATAATGACTGAATGTGGCCTAGCGTCAATAGAGTCAGTTTTCCCAGTTCCCTGGACAAGAAGACTAACTTTACCAAAAAAAAAAAAAAAAAAAAAAAAAAAATTCTAAACATTATTGTAGATTTACATGTAATTGTAATTCCCCCCCAATGGTAATGACTTGCCAAAAGCCCCTTGGTGCTCCTGGCCCCTGTGCTTTATGTTGCAATGTTCACTCACAAATCTTCTTTTATTCCTGGGTCAGTTATACATATTATTCTTGAGAAATTAATATAGAATATACGAAGTGGAATGGGAAAGTATATAAAATAAAGTGAAATAGGGTGATAGCTTTCTTTTACAACACTATCCAACTAATTAAATGATTGTTTTCTTTTTTCCTAAATTCTCTGAGAAATCACTTCAGAGTGTAGATATGAGACTCAAGCTAATACATAATGGAAATTTTTTGCATTTCCCTTCTATTAAATACTTCCACTTAACATGTTCACACTTAAGGATAAGTGTTTTTGAACTGTGTATGAATTTCCCCTTGACAATCCATTCATGTGTGACTGAATACTAATAGTTTTCTTTTTCCAAGTAGACATGTCTAGTAAATATAAGCATCTAGTTCTCAGAAGAAAGATTTGCAATATAGATTTTGGCTGGAATTCCTGGCCAATAATGCACACTTAATAAATATCAGTTGAAATGATTAGTTTAAGTATTAGTTAAAAAGTATGGTTCTTAATCCATTAAGAGCTCCTATAACAAAATAGTAAAAAGAATAAAATTTGTTAACAGCACACAGAGGAAGAAAATTAAATAAATTCTTATTTCATTTTATTGATTATTGTATCATGAAAGAATATAACTCATTAATAATTAAGACTAATAATTAACACTTATCACATATTAGCTACAAAAATTATAGGCAGAAACATACCCAATATAACATGGGCAAAAATTCACAGGAGACACATTTTTAAATTAACAATGCATATAGATGAAGAGAAAGAGATAAGACTTGAATATGATTCAAGGAATTGGAAACTGACCTAGATAAGACTTGAATATGATTCAAGGAATTGGAAACTGACCTATCAGTGTTTTTAAAATATTTTTTTGAAATATTAAAAATACATTTAAGTATTATGATGATGCCAAGAATGGAGGTATTTACTGCAACACTGAAATAGAAAACAAAAAAAGGAATAAAACAAAAAGCAATCTAAAATGTCATCAATAAACAACGAATATAAAAATAAAGATCAACAAAAATATTTCTGCTTCTCTGGGGAATAATCTGGTTTTTTTCTAATACTTTTTAATGGAAACTTGATATTGGTATAAGTAGACAGAATTTCTTTGTTTTCTGTTTGTTTCAGTGCTGGGGATTCAACCCAGGGCCTTTCACATACTAGGCAAGTGCCTTAACACTGAGCTACATCCCCAGCCCAGACATTTCTTATGGCAAAAAATGACTACGGATCAGTAAACACTTCTGTTTTTGACTGTGTCCATTACTGCTATGACACTTGCAGGTGACACTCATAGGCTTTATAAAACATTGACTTCTTTCAGGCATGGTGCTTGTAAACAGGTTTCCTCCACACTCTTTGTGGTATCTTTTTTATACCCAGACACTCACATAGGGGGGCAGAACATGCGAAGAACAACCCCTAGACAGATCTTTAAGAACTTCTCCTGCTAAAAAGATATGCATATTTGACAATGTCTTCCATTTTATCTCATTACAAATTCAAATGAACCTAGTACCAGTTGGCACCAGATGAGTCTTATGAGTTTGGCTGCCAATGTGAATCCAAATTCACTGATGTGGGAGTTATAAACCAGCACAAAAATAGTATATTCATTCAATGAAATACTATGCTACAGTTGAAATGAATGACTTATATCTATATGTGTTAAAATGGGTGAATCTCTAAAGCATTTTCAAGTGAGAACAATTCAAATAGCAACAAGATAAAATCAGTATAATGCACTCCAAAGCTAAATCTTATGCATATAAAATGATACCTTATATTATTCATAATACAAGCATAAAAGATAAAAGTAGAAGTAACTAATTGGAAAGTATACATATAGTTGTTATCTCTAGGGAACTAGGGAAGAGAATGGATGATGAGCTTTTCATTGGATCTACAATACATTTCTTTAAAAACCAAAAATGTCTGAATCAAACTTGGCAAAATGCTAAAGTGTGTTAGATATGGATGGTGAGCATACATATAATTATCATATATTTTCTTTTCCTTTCCATGTTTGAAATATTTTTAAACAGAATGGATAATATTAATATTAGTGACAGTTTTAACAAAATGTCATTGTTAGAGCACAAACAGGCAAAACGTATTCCTGACCCCCAATACTGTAGTATCCAGGGTTTAATTCTTGGATCCCAACACTTCCCCATCTTCCCTCACTTGTAAATTATTTCAACTAGTTCCTTGGGATAAAAATCATATAAATATGACTCCATTATGTATACCCATGTCCAGATCTCACTCCTAAAATCCAGGGTAATATTATTTGATTTTCTCTGCAGTTCACTCCTTTCCCTTTATAATGTGTTTTAGAAAAATTGCATTACATAACATGCTTCAGAATTTATTTGAATATCTTATTTCTTCATGAGAATTTAGATTCTTTCTATTTTTTTTCATCCTGTGCCATACACAGTTTATATTACGTAGCTTAGTCTCCACTGTAATTAGAAAAGATGGTATATTGTTTTTAGAGGAATAAATGCATTTATTGTTTAACCTAATTCATGACCTAGTATCCATTGAAACTATGGTATGTGTTCTCCTTACCTTCCCTCACTTTCCAAAATAGAGACTAGTGCATCGTGAAAAGTTGTATGACTTTACCATAAAGTCTCCAAGAATAATCTAGATGAGAGAATGAAACTGTTGGGGATTACCACCAAAGGACAGAAATCAAACAAACTGCTGGGCCCTTAACCTTTTACTGCTTAAATGCATGATATGTGTTTTCTTCTACCCTCACCCACGTTCTCTCTCAGTGTCTACAGCCCATTCTTATCACAAGGCCAAAATGTGCAGGACAGCAGCACTGACAAAAGAAATGTGGCAGTTTCTGGTATAAACTAATCACCTATTCATCAAGGTCAGACTTTCTTCGTTTAAAAAATATTTTAAAACTGTACCTTGAACAATAAAAAGTTACCAGATTTTAACCCACTCTAGGAATCAATAAAAGCTTATGTCTCCCTTTACTCAGAAAAGCCTGGTCCCCTGTCCATCAGTGTTGTCTCCATTCAGGTGAACCCCAATTAAAACCTTGCCAATATGGTTGCATTCACTTGACTTGATTTCACTTTTAATGGCATAGAGTCAAATCTTTATCACAACCACAGTGTAACTCAAAGAACACAGAATGAAAGAATCCTAACATGAAAAATTAGAAATTAATGAATTAGGGAAAAACTACAATAAAATATATACAAGCTTATTTTGAATGGTCAGCAAAATTTTAAAAAGCAATGGATAAATCAATAAAGATAATTGAAAATAAAGAAAACTAATTTAAAAAATTAACCAAGAAAATATACAAGGTTCAAAATAACAGGAAAGAAATAAAAATCCAATGAAAACAAAATTTCAAGATTCCTAAGTGAGTAATTTGCATAACTCTATTCAAATACATTTGAAAACACACATGATATTTCTAAGTGTTTAGAAAACCGCAACTTTCACAAACTGATACTAGTAGAGACAGAAAGTACAAACAAACCCATTGCACAGAAGAAACAGAAAAATTGGTTAAATTTCTCTCACGAGAAAGTGTGAAGTCCAAGAGAATTTTACCCCCCAATTTTTTTTCAATACCAGAGATTGAACCCAGGGGCACCTAACCACTGAACTACATCCCAACCCCTTTCTATATTTTATTTTGAGGAAGGGTTTTACTAAATTGCTTAGGGCCTTGCTAATTTTCTGAGGCTGCCTTTGAACTTGTGATCCTCCTGCCTCAACCTCCTGAATCACTGGGATTACAGGCATGTGCCACCATGCCTGGCTTCTACCAAACTTTTAAAATTTGATCTATTCAAGGAATGTGGAGAAGCAGAAAAACTTTCATATTCTTATAGTTAAGCAAGTATATAATTGGTTTCTGTGACATTTAATTTTATGGGTTAAATTGACTGAACTATGAGGTGCACAGACATTTGGTGAAACATTATTTCTGGGTTTAT